ATAATACTTATTACTTCAGCCTAATTATCGGGAATAAGATGCCCCAGAATGTCATTATCCTGGAAATTCCTTATCCGACCCTCGAGGCCATGTGTCTGGTACAAGAAGTTCCCTGGGCTGAAAATCAAGGTACCTGCTGGGGAGGATGAGCCTCCCGTTTTTTTCTACCCCTCAATGGCTTGCTTGCAACACTCAATCACCTCCTTTGCAAAAGGCAGGAACAAAAGCAGGGAACTCACAATTAATTACCCCAAAAACTCTCCCCGCAGGGCAGATGCCAGCCCCAGACCTTCACTATCGCTCTAAGTGCTCACGCACGCAACCTTGAAGATTTTTGTCTTTCCTGTGCATCCTTTATTCCATGCAGTGAAAATTTACGCCTCAGCCAAAAGTTTTCCATGTACCTCCTTCTCCAAATCCCGGCTTAAGGTACGTAGAGAAATGTTTCTCCCCCAGGGCTCACTAAAACCACGCTCACGGCATTGCGAGCAGCCTCGGCAGCCAGGCAGCAAAAGCCAGAGTCAGTTTGGAAAGTCTTAGCCTCGACTTTATCATTTGCAGATTTTCTTAAAGGTATTTTTCAGTTAATTATCCCACATTAGCAAACATCTCGCCTAGCCTGGTCTGCTTCTGTGCTAAGAATAAGCAGGAAAAGGGATTAGAAGTGTTGTTAGGAGAGCCTGAGATGTTAAAGCGCTAAATAGATACAGCTGGAAACAGCTTTTCCTTCTAAAGAAATTAAATACCACCTCCACAGAGCTTTCTCCTGCTGCTGCAGTAATGTGACATTTGATAAAGTCTGAGCCACTCACCAAGCCCTGACCCTTCTTAAACTCTTCGGAAATATTTTGTGTTGAAAGCAACTCTTCTCATCCATCGCCCTTTCATCCTTTTTCACGTGGCAGGACGAGTTTCTGATGATCAGATTATACAGAATTACTTGCACCGATAAAGTTAACATCTCGCTGTGGGAACTGCTGGTTTAAGGGGTGTCAGCTGTTTGAAATTTGCTAAAGAAAAGTTTTTGATAAAGCTATAACAAATGGATTTTTTTTTTTTATAAGAACTCACAAAATACATTTTGCCTTTTATTTTTGGGAGCATTGCTGGCAGGTGTAGTGCATTGCTGCACTTTTCTTCTTTCTTAAAGGTTCCCCCCAAGTACAGATGTTTCATTAGGAGGAAAAACTCCTGGAAAATATGCTGAGAAGGGACCAGCCGAGGCTGCAGCCTCACACCTCTGTGTTGCTCCGGGTGCCACTGGAGCAGCCAGAGTGGGAAAACGGGAGCTGGGGAGCTCCAGAGCAAATTCTGAGCAGACAGGGTGTTTGTAGGGCAGCTCCCTTCCAGGAAAGGGCTGTACACGAACTGAACCTTCAATCCACGACGGGAAATCCCCAAGCTACAATTCCCCCTGCATTTTTGGGGGCCACGAAGACAAACCCTGGCTGCTGCGCGGTGCCTGGAGCAAAGGCTGGTTCGTGCTGTTGAACTCTGTGAGGTTCTCGTCCTGCCTGGGTCAGACCAACACCTTCTGATTTAGAACATCACTGTTCATGGCTGAAGTCCCAAACTCGCAATCAGGGATCATGAAATCAAAGAAGCAGCAGAAGTAAGCAGCTGGGACGGCTTTGCATTCGCCTGCTGAGCGTGCTGGGCTAGAACAACACCTGTAAAAGCATCACCACAATTACCTCCTGCATCAGCTGCACCACACGTAAAATGTTGTGGGACAAACAATGATTTTAGTTGACTTGAGGCGAGCGACTTAAGTGGGTGAAAAAATTTTCTTCCCTGTATTACAGAAGCTCATTCTGTTTCATTTATACAGACACTGAGAACAGGCTTGTCACCTTCATTATTGCTTCGGGTTCATTTTCCTGTATTCTTCTCCTTATTGCAATGTTAAAGCTCCAAACAACGCCGTGAGTGTTTCTAGAGAAACGAGTTCTTTTAACTGGATTGTATTCGAGTGTCGTGACTCCATTGAATATTAAGTGGCTTTTCTAAACCAAGAATTCTCTGCAAGTCACTCTCCTGCAAATTCAAGCTTACACCAATCGATGGAAAATACAACCACAACTTCACATAACCACCACCAAATGTCATCAAGCAAAAATAGTCTTTATTCAAATTTCATGGAAACAGGAATCACTGTACTTTGCAAGACAGGGAAAAATAAAATAAAAAAATTTAATATAAAACAAGGATATCGTCACAATACCAGAATATGGAACTATACTTCTTTTCCCTATGGATTACTGCAAGTACCTATTTCTTTTTTTCTTCCTCCTTTTGACTGTGCTATTCACAACTTTGTAAGTCCAAAAATATGAAACAAAAGTAGTAGGAAACTTAAGACTTAGCACTTCCACTACATGGCATACATCGAAGGGCATCGATTCAAGGGCAAAGACTGCTGAAGCCGTCATACCTACCTATCAGTCATCACGGCAACCTCATCAACCCACCAAGGCGTAGAGCTCCTTCTCTGCGAGGCTCTTGCTGGAAAACAGGGCAATTTGGGCGCTCTGGGACGAGTTCTATTTAAAGAGAACCTTTCTCTCTAGGGTAGAAAATGAGCTGCACAGCCTTGCACCAGAGAGCCGGGCAGGGAGGGAGCTCTGTGGTTAACAGTGACAGACGTACCATCAGGGTTCTTAAAAATATACAGCATCGACGTGTTTTCTACTTCAATCACTTGCGCTACAACTACTAAACACGTACAAAAGACTTCTCCGACTGTTCCAAGTGGGGTTGCAGCAAGGTTAGGATCTGGAGCGAGACCTTGACCGCGATCGGGAGTGTGACCTAGAGGCAGACCTAGATCTAGACTTGGACCGGGACCTAGGCTTGGAAACAGATTTAGACCTGGAACGAGAATCTGATTTAACGTTTGGTTTGGATTTGGAAATTGACCTAGACCTGGAGCGAGATGCCCGATGTGCGGCTGCATCCTCACCCTCACTTTTTGCCTCCTTTTTGTCAGATTCTGATTTTAGATGCTCCTTCTCTTTGGAGGCTGACCTGGACCGCTCATGGCTGTCCTTCCTTTTCTTCTTGCTACTTGGTTTGCTGTCTCGCTTGCTGCGCCTCTTGCTTTTCTCACTCTTGCTGCGGCTCCTGCTTCTACTGCTGTCATCCCTGCTTCTCTTCCTACTTTTCCTTTTATCCTTACTGTGGCTCCTGCTCCTACTCTCATCCCTGCTCTTGCTCCTGCTCCTGGCCTTGCTAATGCTCTTCTCCCTGTCTTTGCTCCTACTCTTCTCCTTGCTCCTACTCCTCACGCTCTCCCTCGCCTCTCCCCTGTCCTTACTCCCACTCCTGCTCCTACTCTTCTCCTTGCTGCGGCTCCTGCTCTTTGCTTTCTCGTCACTGTTATGGAGAGTGCCCTCAGATTTATCTTTACTTTTGTTTCGGGATTTCTCTGCACTCCTGCTGCGGCTCCTACTTTTATCCTCTTTACTTGGAGTCCTGCTTTTCTCTTTTTGGCCTCTGCTACGGCTCTTGCTGCGACTACGGCTCTTGCTTCTGGAACGGGACACAGACCTGCAAGTACAAAGGCAACAGACGGCTCTGCTTCAGTGCAGCTTGGATTTAACTAGGAGTTAAATATTGTGCATAATACAGCAGGGAAATGAAAACCAAAGTGTTCCTACTGCACATTTAGGATGATGCTTCTCATTTAAGCGGGCAGCCCCCATTTTTTCCCACCACAAAGACATACCTGGATCTTGATCTACTCTTGGAGCGACTAGTACTGGCACTGCGGCTCCTGCTCTTATGCGAATGTCTGCTTCGAGAGCGAGACCTGGAACAAAAGCAATCAGCTTAAGACATGCCCACGGAGAGCTTCTGATCCCCTGGTCCCCTGTGGGTAAAACCCCAGAGTACTACAGTACCTTTGAAGCAGCTGAACAGTGAGAGCATTACACTAAAGCTACAATCAGAGTCCCCTTCTCCCCACCGCACATCCCCTGCTGCCACGGCTGGCAGAGAGCAGGGTTGCTAATCTGGCAGAAAACATGCAACCTGGAAGCGAGAATCACTTTCTCAATCAAGTCAGTTTAATGCCGTGAGACACTCGGATGAAGCTTTGACTTCAGGCTTTGATCTCATAACCAAGCTGTTCTAGGAACAGTAGGAGTTTGCCTGAGTTTTCTTGTGACAAGTTCTACCCCAGAATGGAAAGGGGAAAGGACTCAGTGTGGTGTGCTGAAGCAGTTCTCTCGATCATACAACGAAAGCAGCAAATCCCTAAGAAAGGGGGACTGGGTAAGGGTGGGCAAGCTGAGAGAGAACTGTTCATCCCGGTGCTTATAGAACACAATGTTCAGAGCCCAAGCGTTAAAAGCACCTTCTGTTCACGCTGTGCACAGCTCCACCTGTCACGCAGCCTCTCCTGCAAGACGCTGAGGTCCACGGACCTGGTGGATTTGGGAAAGAGCAGCAGCGTGCGCTCCGGCGTGTGGCTGGCAGAGACACACATTCGCCAAGGAAAACACTGCTGGACAGAGGCCTCATTTCCCTTGGCTACTTCCAGGTAGCTATTAACTTCTCAAAAACTAGATTTATTGTGAACTCTGAACACTTTCAGGGTGTTTAGGAACCTGCTGTATATTCATGGAATTGCAGCTGGATTCAGCCTGAGCTACGTTCTGCAGAGACATACCTCGAATGGCTTCGGCTTCTGGAGTAAGAGCGGCGCCGTCTCGATCCAGGTCTGTCTTCCACTAATCTAATCTTTCTGCCATTTACTTCTGTCCCGTCCAGCTTTTCAAGGGCTCTTTTCATGTCAGAATAGGATTTGAACTCAATCACACCTTCATTTTTCCTTCCTTTGTGTGCATCTGCATATGTCACCTCCCCTGCCTGACGCATATAATCCTGGAGGAAGAGGACAGAATAACCATTGCCTCGAATCCAGAGCCAGGCTTCCAGGCTGACCCTGTTCATTTCTGCAACAATGCTCGCTCAACCTCTTCTACTCGCACGAATGTCAGCGAGGGTTTGAACCAACCAGCATTTGCAGCGCTAACGTCATGGTTTCTGAGCAAGCCAAATACCACACTGTGATTTCAGTTTGTGTGATTAGAACCAAGGTGGTGTCGATAGTTTTGAGCCAAACAATAATTTAAGGTCCTCTCATCTCAAGTCTAGTATCAAATACGTGCTGAACTATTATAAATTTCAAATTACAAAAGCAATTAAAGAAATAAACCGCTTTCTAAATCCTGTTTTTAAAGGCAACTTGGGAAAGGTGATAAACTTCAAGGTTGAATATGAAGAGGCAAGAGGACCTCCCTTCAGCCTCCACCTAGGTAACAGATTCTGCTGGAAGAAACCCCCACACAAGGAAAAGCTCAATTTGTTTTCCTGCTTCATGCTTCCTGGCTTCTCTGTTTCAATATCTAAACATGTCTGACGATCAGGGAAGGCTTTTCTGCCCTGCTCTGAGCGAGCCATCAGCCAGGGCCAGCTTTCAGCCGCTGCGGATTTTGGCTGCAATGGAAACGGGGCCCAGAACTCCGGTTTGTTCTGTTTTCAACCCAGCTACTCCCATCTTAAGTACACTGAAACCAAAGGTACTGGAAAAAAGCAAAGCATCCAGCAGAGGATTAATCATGCCATGCTCTACTTACAATTTTTAATACCAGAAGCAAAGACAAGCTATTGACGGTGTGAAGCATTAACAACAAAAGACATTTGAAGAATCTCAGTACGTACCTGAGCTAGTGTTACACACTCAATTACAGACCAGTTTCTACTACGTCAAAGTTTGTTTAGAGCAAATTTTACACATCCTTAAAAGAGAACCATAAAAGAAAGCGTTCCTGTAAGAACAAGCGTTTTGAACCGTTGCTGCTAAGGTTGATAAGGAAACACCATCTTTTTGTACCTACGACTGAAATTCTGCTGCCTGTCCTGCCCCCCATCCAGGACTCAGATAATCACAAATCAATGCTCAATGCTTCACCTCCAGTGCTCGGAGGTACCGTGGGCTACACAGGGTTACCCAACGCTTCCACTGCCGAGAATCACCTTCCACTCCTTGGGATCTTGAAAAAATTTTAGCTCTTGGCAGAGGTTTTGCATGACTGCTCATTCTGGAAGCATCCTTTCCCCAAAACTCTCTTTAAAATAGCTGTACATGGGGTGGAAATTCTTAGGAGACCGTGACAGAACAATGTTATAATTTCCAAACAGCTCTAGCACCTTAAACATTGACAAGTAAAACCCAAAGTGACAAGGGCAAACTCCATCTCTAGTGAATCCTACTGCTGGCATGATGAAAGTCTGTTTTGAGAGGGCGTAAAGATAAGATAAAACACATCTGTACGTGATGCTGGGTTTGCATTAAGGACACAAGTTATTCTCTCAGTGACACCAAGTCTACAGGTGCAACTCCCAATGTCGCATTAATGATTTCATATACGCAAAATTGACTTAACGTATGTATTATTTCCAAAATTTACTTGTACGCATATGAGCACACAAACTGATTAACAAGTTGGAGTCAAGAACACCGGTGTATAGCATTTTTCCTTGTGGAAACGGAAGCTAACGTTTTTACCCTTTATGCTCTTGAACAGAGAGAGGGTAAGGAAAGCAGCCCCATACCTTAAGATCTTGCCAACTGCAGCGGCTTGACAAATTTTCCACAATCAATCTGTATTCTGTACGGGTCGGAGGACCGTACTTATCTCTTCCGCTTCTTCTATAACCATATCCACCTTTAGGAGGTGACAAGCAGACAGCAGTACTTCAACTAGGGCAATGGAGCGCTCGCTCTACATCCCAGACGAAAATTGTTCTGCCCCGTAAGATCGCAAAGCCATTAAAAACTCCCCCACCCATTAGTCTAAATTCAATCCCCCTTGTATAAAATGTTGCAAAGATCCAAAGCATTAAAAAAAAAAAATTACTACAAGCACATAAATAAAGCAATGCACATAATTATGATTACGCTACAATTATCATGCAATTAAAGTTATTTTTAAAACAGTTTGAAAGAAGAAACTGAATTAAGCCAGTTGACTAATGTTACTTACATTGCTTAAAGGTTTTCTGAATATTTGACCATGAATAAAGCTTTTCAGGCACCTATTTCAGATTAATCTCATCTGTCTCTAACCCTTGGGGTCCTCACCACCCAGGTCTAATGGGACAAGGTTGCGGTCGTCACATGGCTTCCTTTTTTGGTCAGCCAAGGGCCACAAAGGTCAGAGCCACTCATGGAAAGGTAACCCCGGGTCAGCAAATGGAACGGGCAGTCATCTTAGCCTCAAAGGACTCTTTTAATTAAAACATTGAGGTCTTTGTTAAAGCTATGTTCAACAGCACATTGCAAATACACCATTCAAATAGTTAAAACGAAATGATAATAATAAAAATGGTACAAGAAATTGTGTTTATTAATTTATCAATTAAAATAGTTTAATACAACAAACAAGTTAATAAATATTCAGATCAACAGTTACATTTACAGTTACAGAACACTATTCACAACTTCATATAATATTCTTTTAAAATTACTTTTATAAAAAAAAAAAAGAGCAAAAAATGTTTTATTTAAAATAAGTCATGGATACAAATGCATGGTAGTGCTTACTGCGTCCAGAACCGTAACTGCTGTCACGCCGGGGGCCTCTGGCATGCTCAACGATCACTCGCTCCCCACACAGATCTTTACCGTTGAGCTCATAAACAGCATCATCTGCATCGCGCAGATCATCAAACTCAACAAAGCCATACCTGGAGAGAGGGAGGGAAAAAAGAATCACTCGGAAAGAACTGAACCGGAGGTGTCTTGCTCAAAACCCATTTGTGTCCCACAGCACGTTTCCGCAGAGCCCAAAGAGCGTTCCTCTCCGCGTGCCGAGCTTGAGATGAACAATGGTCGTGACCATCTTGAAGGCCACCTAAGGGTTTATGGCCAAGAGCACTACCCCCACAAATCCACTAAATGTGGTTCTATGTTGCACCATATTCAATAAATTAAAAAAAATATTTAAAATTCACTCAACAGCACCAAGGCTGAAGTTTCCTTTGACAGATGTTGTAGTCTATATGTTCCCTGGATTAGGATTGTTCCTGATTTTTGAAGATTCCTGGGTTCATTCCTGGTTCTAGAAGGAAGCCACCTTCATTCCTACACTTCAAGTGGAAATAATCATTCATCTCTGTACACACAAGTGGTCCGCACACTCTGCACGAAGGTCCAACAAGAAATAAAATACAAAGGCGGGTTAGGAAAAGGGATTTTGTTTTCATCAGACTCCTTTTATTCTTGACTGTGGACAGAACTGATGGTTTGGGTAAGAAAAGCAACATGCTCACGCAACAGGACAGATCTTCCAGCTGCTGAGATATCTGCAGCTTCCCACGTACTGCTCAGAAAGTGTCTGATGCCCACTATATTTCCAGTATATTCCAGCACTTAAGAGAGCGCGGTGAGTCCAAGCCTTGGTAAGGGACTTGAGAAAATGCAGCAACAGGAAGCGGGAACAAATTCCCTGGGGAAACCACGAGTCCAGCTGCAGCCAAGAGGCCTTGCAAGGGCAGCATGGGGCGCGCGTCTGGAGAAGAACAAAGTTTTGTGTTTGAAAACATCTGCTGCACCAGCCCTGCTCAAGGCTTGGAAGTCACGGGCAGATCAAGCACAAGAAGAAGGATATCAAACTGAAATAAAATATATAATGCTTAATTTCAGCATTCAAGCGAACATTTTTGGCATCAGTTTCCTATTGCCAAAAGTGAGCACAAAGAAAGACAAAAGCTTGCAGACCACTGCTTGCCTGGCAAGTCAAAGCCAGCGTTTTCGGTTTTATCTGCAGGGGTGGCACAGCCAGCCATCAGAGCCACCGCCCGGCTGCTGCCAGCGCCCAGTCCCTGTTGGCTGAAGATCCCAAAAGACCAACCGAAGGGTTTTTAAATAATTTCTTACAGCTGGTGCTCAGGCACAAGCCGGTGACTTGCTTATGGTTGCAGAGCAAACTCACAGCAGCACTGAAGCAAAACTGGAGCCTGACAATTTCTAACCTGACAAGAGTTAAACACCTACTTAAAACCCAACATTGTGCAGATGCCCATTATCCCAACGGGCCAGAGGAAAAGGACGAAAAGCAGCAGAGTGCTGTTTATCGGAGTGCAGAGTATACCTGCAGTTGAAATCACTTCTCTTTCATTTACCTGCCAAGACCAGATCCAGGCTCCAGAGCTCCCCAGGCAAGAGCTGAGGATGCTCAGCCCTGTGCACGACCCGGAGCCTCTTTTCAGCAGCAACCTCTCCAACAGCCGTAGCCAAACACACAATCCTGAACTCTGGTCTTAGCAAGCCAAGGAGGGGAAGTTTTTGCGAGTGCTGGTGTTCTAAATAATCCAAAAAACAAACCCCTGATACAATAACACTGACCTCCTCTTTTAGGTCATTGACTTTTTAACCTTTCTCACCACCTGCCCCAAGGGTGTGTGATGGTACCTGTATCAATGAAATATTTAAGAATAACTCCAAACACCACAAATAACATATCTGCCTTCTCATGCAAGTGCTGTAGTTTCATGGAAGAAACAAGTGTGATTGATTGATAACAACTGAAACAATCACAGCCATTATCGAACCATTCAAACTGGAAATTTCTTCCCTTCAATTCCAAAAATAGAGCAAGCAAGCCCAACTGTTTAAAGGAAATCTCACCCTGCAAGCAATCACTTACAAGGTGAAGTGCCTGGTATGCACAAGCACTTTCAAGACCATAAATGCACAGAGCTAGAACAATGGAAGAATATCTGAATCTGATCAGAACACAGGATTGAACTTGTTCTTCCCAGAAGCGCACCCAAAAGTTGCCTGGGGGGCACTTGCTCACCCGTGCGGCACACCAGCCAAATCCAGCACCGCCAGCAGTTCTTTAAGCCAAACAAGCTCATACAAACCTGGAGATCACTTGCATTTAAAGAACACTAAAAATCACAGGCCACATCACTTGTAAATGCAAGTAATGCCGATCCAGCTGTTAAATATGTATAATATTGCACTGTATCATCTGAGAACATGAATTGAGAAGCTTCGGAAGCACAGTTTTACACCCCAGAAAGCCACAACTGCTGACACGGCCTTAACTACAGCAATCTGAACCTGCAGTTAGAGGAGAGCAGCGCAAGTAAATCTGCTCTTTGATGTCTACTATTACTACTTCATCTGTGGCATAAAACTACTCACTAAAAATGTCAATGCCATTTACTTCAGCTAATGTGAAGCTACACCATTTTCTCTTCATGAAGCTTTTAGCTTTGAACCGTGTTCCTCGATCCATCAGAGCAGTTACACCCCTCTGTCTTGCAGATATTTTATGAGGATGAAGGCGTGAATTCTCAAAAGCTGGTCAGGGTGATGCTGGGCAGAGAAGTACACAGGTAGAACTATTTTTTAAGCTAGTGAGATGGCAAGTTGGTTTCCTCATCAATGAAAGCTTGCAGCTCTTAGAGTTACTACAGCTAGGTTTTGGCATATATTTAGAAAATTAAAAAGCAGGCTGAAAAGTCCGAGTTTCTGGACACTTAGTACATACACTCCTGCCACACACAGCTCCAGTTGTCAGCGCAGTTCTGGGTAGGAAAAAAGAATATGAAAACTATAAGAGTATACTTAGAATTGCAACTTGGAACGGAGACTCCTACAGAAACTGGATTTTTATTTTCCCCATCCTTCTCCCAGGTAAACATTGCTTTAAGCTTTTGAATTGCAAGCTTAAATTACAATTAGCAGCAAGTGAGACCCAGCTAAGCTTTTAGGACTCAGCTGTATCACATTGCAGTTTCATCCTCTCGCTCAAGCACTTCAGCTTAACAGCTCAAATACCGACCGGCTAATCTTCTCTGGCTGAGCAGCGACAACAGCCCACAAATTTCCAGAAGAAACGGAAAGAATCTCTCAAGTCAAACACGGTGCAGTAATTTTTAATCACTTGCTAACCGCTGCTAAAAATAATTCATGGAGAAAGGATCAGAGGGCGAACAAAGCACACCGCAGAGTACCCCAGCAAAAGCGCAGCGCCAGGCGATCCCAAGTAGAGAGACACAAAATCTGATAGCTTAAATCAAATTTTTAGTCAAACTGAATTTAAATACAAGCCAACAGCAGCCTGTTGAAAGAACTCCAGAATAGACAACTAAAAAAGGAATTAAACTGTTGAGTTAATCCCAGAAATACCGACTGAGCTCTACCTAACCCACAGCTGAAGCAACCCTCTAGAGAAGCAGCAAACAGCAAGGTGAAGGACAATTCCATGACGTTACCTCAACTTTCCTGTCCTCCTTCCGTTAGCTGCAACTTTTGAAGCTTGGGTGCATGTCTCCCCCAAGTGAAGTTAGGAAAATGACTTTCGCTCTGGAATAAAGCGTATCACACACAAAGCACCTGAATTTTAGACACAGGCAGGCTGTGCCCTCCTGCCTTCTGTACCTTGTACTTGCCACAAGTTTGGGCTGCTCAAGCGCACCCACCCCAGCTCTTCATGATTAGATGGTTTCTAAATGCTGAGTGGGGATCGTAGGGCTGGTCCTTGGTCAATGTTTTTGCAATAAAGTCAGAAGACAAGTCTGTTAGCCATGGACCTTGGGAGCACTGCCTCTGCCAAGAAAGGTCAGGGGGTTTTCCAACATCTATGAAACAGAAATATTTAATTTGGAGGCTTTAAACAGCAACAGGCAAACTCACACCTGCCCCAAAAAACCACTTTGAAGGATACACAGTTGGACTGGAGAACAGAGTGCTCAAATATTTCAGGTACGAGCAATTTTCAACATCACCTGAAGCTGTGTTGGGGAAAACACTGATGCTTGCACACTTGTTTATTTTAATAACGGCCTTTATTCATCTTATAAACCTGTTGTATATCCACCTACCACCACAACCACTGTTTAAACTTAATGAGACTTTTTTTTTTTTAATGCTCAAGGACTAACTTTTACTAGAGATTCGTCATCTCAACCTCTAAAGCAAAAATAATTATTGGCTCTCCTAGCTAATAATAGTAATAAAAAAAATCCAAATTCCACTCAAGTCTTCCAAAGCAAGACTTCAAGTTGGGTTTCTTGTGAAAAGCAAAGATGCCAACACTCATGAGACTTTAAGCACTGGGGAAAAAACCCACAAAAAAATTTGTTTTCTCTTGGAAAATCCTCACTTGAATTGATCCAAACCCTCTGGGTGCAGCGAGGGGTCAGTGGCTGGAACCTCACACAGGTGAGGGGACACAGGGCTCAGGGGGGTGTTGGGGGGCAGGACACCCCCCTGGCTGGGGTGCCAGCACCCTGGGG